TGCGGGCGTGGGCCGCTCGGGCACCTTCGTGGCGCTGGTCAGGCTGCTGCAGCAGCTGGAGGAGGAGCAGGCGGTGGACGTGTTCAACGCCGTGTGTGCTCTGCGGCTGCACCGGCCGCTCATGATCCAGACCCCGGTGAGCAGTGGCCGGGGTGGCGGCCAGCGCCTCAGGGTCCGAAGGGGCTCATGGGGCACACAGAGGGCCCTGGGGAGGGCTGGGCTGGGCCATGTCGCTTTGCCTCTGGGCTCCCAGTCCTCTTTCTGCCCAGGGGGCGGGGCAGGCCCCTGCCAGCTTTGGCACCATGGGACAGAGCAAGGGCATCCAAGTGGCTCCCTCCCGCCCCCGCCCCGTCCCCCCCTTTCCGGGTCACGCTCCCCAAGCCGGCACCTTCTCGCCCCAGAGCCAGTACATCTTCCTGCACAGCTGCCTCCTGAGCAAGATTCTGGAAGGGCCCTCGGCCAGCTCCCGGTGAGTCAGCCCCCCGGGAGGGATGCGGTTTCCCATCCCCACCGACAACGGCCCTGACTGCTGTCCTCCCGCAGGGCCGGGAGGACCAGAGGTGGGAGCTGGAGAACCCCCAGCGCCCCCTCGCCTGTCCGCCCCGGCCCCAGGCCCCAGCGCATTGCCGTGACCGACTTTGCACAGGCTTGTGCCGAGAGGGCCATGAATGCCAACGCCGGCTTCCTGGTGGAGCACCAGGTACGCCTCGGCGGCCGGGCGGCCGGGTGGCCGCGAGGGCCACCTGCCCCCACCTCACTCCCCGCCCCTCTCCCAGCTCTTGCTCCAGGCCATCTCAGCGGCTGGCTCGGTGCCGCCCCCTCCTGGCTGCAAGCAGGACAGCACGGCCTCCTGTGAGTGCTTTGCTGGGGTGGGTGGGGGCCCTCTGGCCTAGCCGGGACCTCTGGCTGCCTCACCCTCCCGTCGGCCTCCCTCAGATGACCGCTCTACAGCGTGGCTTTCTCTGGAGGACGAGGGGAGCCCCCCTGACGAGATGCCCGGAGCCTGGCTCTTCCCCGTGAGACGACCCTGTGGCTTGCCCTCCCGCCGTCTGTGCTTCTGGGGCCCGGAGCTGGGTGGGTGGGGTCACTCAGTGTCCAGGGCCAAAGCGCTGTGCTCTGCAGGGCGGGCCTTCGGGCCACGACCACGTGGTGCTGATGGGCCCCGCCCGGCCCCGGGAGCTCTGGCAGCTGGTGTGGGAGCACCGGGCCCAGGTGCTGATCTCCCTGTGCTCCCCGTACACCCAGGACGAGGTGAGGGGCCGCGGGACAGAGGGCGGAGGCTTCAGATTGGGATTGGGAAGGGCGTCTGTACTGTGGCCGCCGACCAGGGTGGGCAGAGAGCCGGGGGAGCTGCCTGAGCAGCCCTGACCTGGTCCGGTCACAGGACTTCTGGCCTACGGAGCTGCAGCCCATTGTCACGGGCCCGGTGACAGCGCGCTGGGAGGCCGAGAGCGACGCAGCGGGCTGGCCCTGCACCCTGCTCAGGGTCACACAGGTGGGTGGGGGCCACGGGCAGTGGGACGTGCAGGGAAGGGTCCGTGCCTGCTCTGGCTCCGACGCTACAGCTCTGTCCCCAGGGGGACAGCGGGAAGGAGAGGCAGGTGCGGAGATTGCAGTTTCCGCGCTGGGAGCCGGGGCCTGAGCTGCCCGCCTCCACCCTGCTGCCGTTCCTCGCTGCCGTGGGCCGGTGCTGCTCCCGGGGCTCGGAGAAGCCGGGCACGGTGCTCAGCCACTGCAGGTGCTGTTGGAGGAAGCCCTGGGGGCGGGCGAGGCCTCTCGGTGCCTTTCTGGAAGGGTGTCACCTCCCCAAGCCTGCACCTCCCCATGACACCATCCCTGACACCTCCCAGGCCTGTGACACCTTTCAGGGACTTACCTTTCAGCCTGGGCCTGGGCCTCGGGCCGGGTGGGTTTCCCCACATCCCTCCACCCCCACCCCATGCAACTCCGGGTCACTTGCAGCAAGGATGCGGCCCAGCTGGGCACCTTCCTGGCCATAGATCAGCTGCTGCAGCAGGCGGGGGCCGAGCATGCCGTGGACATCTTCAGCGTGGCCCTGCAGCAATCACAGGCCTGTGGCCTTATGACCCCGACACTGGTGAGGCCACCAGGGGCTCGGCGGTGGGGACGCAGGGGCGCGGGAAAGGCTCTGTGCTGGCCGCAGACAGCCACCAGGTGGCGCTGTGGACCACGGTGCGGGACGGGAGAGCGGGAGATGCAGGGAGCCTATGGCTTCAGACCCCGTGGCGACGCTCCGGACCTGTCTGCCCGCAGGAGCAGTACATCCACCTCTACCAGTGTCTGAACAGCGCGCTGGCCGACGGGCTGCCCTGAGTGGTCAGGAGGCCTTTGTCTGCGGGCAGCGCCGGCCAGCCCCCTGCGGGATGGAGGGCAGGGTCCGGGAATAAAGAGTGTGGTGGAGCCCGAGGCTGAGTGTGCTCTGTCGCCCTCTGCGGAGGAAGGAATCAGCCTCAAAGACCGTGGGACATGGGGCCCAGCCGGGGTGTGGTGGCCATCTGAACAGGGCCGGGTCGGGCCGGGGGGATCTGGCTTTTCCTGGAGCAGCCTCCACCCCGATCCTCCAGTCCCCAGACTCCCCCCCGCTCAACCTCCCCCGGTGGTGAGACGATGCTGCTCCCTGCTCCCTGGCCTGGGCCATCCTGGCCTGCATCGGCCACGCCCCCAGGGCATTCGCCCCCCCATGCAGGTGATGGGCTCCCCCGGGAAGCTGCTCCCCTGCCCCCCCACACTGGAGGCAGGTAGGACAGAAAGCAGTGAGGGGACCTGGGGGAGGGGAGACCAGGAGGAGAAACAGGCGGAGAAGGCGGGGAGGAGGGACAGGGAGGAGCAATCGCCCAGCGCCCTCCAGGACGGGACTGCACCAGATGACGGAGCGCCGGTGGCTCCTGTCTGCCTCCCTGATCAGACGGCATAGTTCTCGGTGGCCCCTGGAGCTGGATGGTGACTGTCCCTGGTGGAGGACCCGGGGCGACATAGGGAGTCTGGCCGAATCTGAGCGGGAGCCCGGAAATGGACTGAGGCCCACGAATGGAGGTGGGCAGAGCTGCGAGCTCCTGGCAAGGGGTCAGAGGTTGGGGAGGGCGTCCTTCCAGAAAGAAGTGAGGCTGTGGTCCCCCCACCGGGGGCCGGAACATCGAGTCCTCCTCGCCACCGTGTTTAATGACCTGCGGCAGGCAGGCTGGACACTCAGCCCCGAGCGCCCAAGCCCCCCACGAAGGGCTGCAGGTCGCTCCCTTGTGTTGGAGCTGCAGAGCTGCAGGGGGGAGGGCAGGGGAGAGGGGGCCGGGCGGGCCACAGCCTGGGGGATGGGAGCACCCATCTGTGGGGCTCTCCGGTGACCGGAGGGCCCTGGCCAGCGAGCAGCCCCATCGCCCTGGGAGGTTAGCAGCAGCAGCAGAGACCGGAGGGGTTGGTGAGAGGGTCTCGGGCTGTGGAGTGGGGGGTGAGGGTTCTGGCCGCCTCCAGGCCTCTGGCTTCCAGCGTGCAGTCTGTGGGGACCACGGCCAGGTGGGGCAAAAAGGGGACACAGGAGCCTGCTGCAGCTCTGCACTGGGGCTTGGCTCAGTGCCAGAGAGACCGGAGGAAGCTAAAGGCCTGGTCTAAGAAAACAATAGAGACTTGACTCCAGCCGTGGCCACCGCGCTGGCCCCCAGGGGCCTGGGGTTCCAGCCTCCGTGGGGATTAGCTGCAGCTGCATCTCTGGCCTCCAGGTGGCGCCAATCTGTCGCCTTCGGGGCGCTGGCAGCCGCTGACGGTCCCTCAGCCTGGCCAGCGGGGAGGTCCAGGGAGCAGGATCGAGGTGGTCCCGGGGCCGGAGACCCGCTGAGCCACACTGACCACGCTCGGGACGGAAGTGCGCACCCGTCTGTCCGGAGGCAGGGCGCAGCCGCTCCGTCTCCGGGCCCCTCACTGCCCTCCGACCCCAGCTCAGCTGGCAGCAGAGCCCTGTCCAGCCCCACCTCTCAGGACAGCCCCTCACTTCCTTCCCAATCCCAGGAGATGAGTGACGAGGACGCCCCTGAATTCCAGCGCTGGGGCTGCCCCCTCCCAGCGGTGTGACCTTGAACTAATGACCTCCGTCCCCGACCTGTTTCCTCGCCCGCTGATGGAGGGGTGCGGGCCCAGGGTCACTCTTGAGGGTCTTCCAGAGGGTCACGTGAACCGTGGCCGTCCCTGCAGGGGGCCCTGGGTCCCGGCCCCAAAGAGGTGCAGGCCCCTGCCCCGCGGGCTCGGCTCGCAGTCTTCGGGTTTCTCGCCGCTTTTTCTTTCCCGGATGGAACTCCTGCCAGCAAGGAGGAAGGAGGGAAAGGAGCGACCGCGGCGCGGAAGGTCCCCGTGACTCCTCCTCCGCCCGGGTCTCCCTCCCTTGCCAAGCCCAGCCCGTGAAACGGAGGAACGCGCACTCGGCAATGCGCGCGCCGCTGTGGCTGCAGGGTCCCCGCGCTCCGGCT